CTGATGGCAAGGTTGCAATGATCAACTCAACAGTCCACATTCAGTATGCTAGGTCAGGACAGCTTGGGGGGAGGTTTCCTTGCAATGGACAAAGTTGTGATTGCTGAAATGTCAAACGTGAGCATTTCTGACGCAGTAGCAACAAATCAAGGCGGTGGCTTCCAAGTGGAGAAAGGTGGTTTACAGGTTGCAAGCATGTCTACACTCAAACTTCAAAATGTGAAAGCTGGCCAACATGGAGGAGGCTTCCTTTCCCTTGCAGAGGTTGACATAGGTGGAGGCTCAACAGTGAAGATTTCTGACGGCCACGCAGTCTTTGGAGATGGGGGAGGCTTTGGCACGAGCAAGGAACTAGGTGTCTTTGATGGCTCCACCCTCATACTTCTGAATGCAACAGCTGGACGTCACGGTGGAGGATTCAACGCTGGTCTCATGGTCGCAATGAGCAACTCAACAGTCAGCATTCAGCATGCTACGGCAGGACAAAATGGTGGAGGTTTCTATGTTAAGGACAGCATTGCATTTGCCGATGCATCTTCAGTCGCCATGTCAGACACCCATGCAGGGGTAGATGGTGGTGGCTTCATGGTTGGAGGTGGGCTCACTATCCATAATGGCTCAATGTGGATGGCCAATTCGACTGCCGTGCGGACGGGCACTGCAGGTCGTGTGGATGGCCTGGTGCTTCTTTCGTCTCAGTCCAGCTTAGACATTCATCAAGCAGAAGGTGATGGAAACTCCAGCGTTCTGGCAGCAAGCTGCCTCCAACTCCATCCTAGCTCAACCTTGGCCCTTGAAGGCATCATTGGTGGGCATGGTTTGGACCTGCAAAATGGCGGCTGCTCCTCTCTCTGCAGAAACACCACCTTCCAAGTGACAGATGGCGCGGCTCTGAATGCAATGGGTCGCTTGAGCTCAGGCCTTCTGTCAGTTGAAGCCTGCCCTTCCGAAGAAGTGCGCCTCTCAAGCATTCATTTGCAGTCTTGGAACAGCTCGCTCCTTACCACGCGCCCCAGCTATGTGGTGATCGACCATGTCGACATCCACTACCGGCCACCGGTCGACAATCTGCAGATCCTAGCTGCTCAGGATCTGCCATTCTTGCACCAATATTTGTATGTGTGTTTTTCCTTTTGCAGGCAAGACATATGTGCCATATGCATCAGAAATGAGTCTCCATCCCTCCCTAATGTGCAGGAAATTGTAATCAATTGGTGAGCTATCCTTTGCCAGCAACATTCATGATACCTGCTCACATCGATCTTTGCCCAGACCGACTCTTCAAAAGCCTTCCCTGCAGGAGAACTTCATCATCAACTCCTTGGCCATTTCATGCCCGGACTGCCCGCAGGGAGTGACCTTCAATGCAACAGAGGATGGAACCTTGCAAGCTCTGAGCCCAGAAAATCTCCTATGTTCCAAAGCCTTCACAGTGTCGCTTGGTGAGAATATATGCTTGCTACCCCCTCTTGCACACTCTCGAATCACTCCATATTGAAGTGTTCAGATGTTTTCCAGAAACAGTGTGTCCGCACTAGGGGTTCTTACGGTAAGGATTAAGGACGGATGCCTGATCGGAGGTGCTCATCGAAGCGTCCGTCGAATTCGCTACCATTTACAGTACATTTATTCACCTCGAGATCTTCGAAGTGCATTTCGACTGCGCAGGCTCGCAGAATCTGGTGGGCCGCAGAGGGTGACTCTCACTGGTGATCAGTACGCGTGACAGGCGCAAGGGAAACCTCGTGATTTGGTGGTCCAAAGTCGACTTTTCGTGACAGGTGCAGGAGATCGGAGTATTTGGGTCGACATGGTGGTGGTCTTCGCGCGCTGTGATTTCAAATTTCGTGGCAGGCGCAATGAGCCGTGACTTTTGGACATGAGGCTGGCTTTCAGAAATCGGCGGAAGTCTCAAGCGAAAGCGCTGTGGCATCTTGATCCAGTACCTTGTGGACTTTGAAGTGCAGATTTCGTGGCATGCGCAGCACTTTGTGAACCTTGAGGCGCAGATTTCGTGGCAGCCACAGTACTTTGTGCCTTGAAGTGCAGATTTTGTGGCAGGCGCAGCGCTTTGTGGCAGTATTTTTTGGACCTTGAAGTGCAGACTTCGGGGCAGGTGCAATATTTAATTTTGTGGACTTTGAAGTTCAAGTGCGGGTTTTGTGGCAGGCGCAGTGCTTTGTGGACCTTTACGTGTAGGTTTCGTGCCGGGCGCAGCACTTTGTGAACCTTGAAGTGCAGTTCTCGTATCAGGCATAGTATTTTGTGGACCTTGAAGTGCAGGCAAGCGCGGCACTTTGTGGACCTTGAGGTGCAGATCTCGACTCAGGCACAGCGCTTTATGGTTCTTGAAGTTCTTGAAGTGCAGCTTTCGTGGCAGACGCATGCAGACGCAGTGCTTTGTGGATCTTGAAATGCAGAGTTCAGGGCAGGCGCAGTATTTTGTGAACCTGGCATGACCTTTAAGTGTAGAATTCGTGGTAGGCAGCAATTGTGTTCTCAGACATCTGTGGACGTAGACCTGCAATTCTAAGCCTACCTGGTTTGAGAACCTCACCACCATCACCATCACCACCAGCATCTCCGCATCTCCACTACGATCATCACAACCATCACCACACCACCACCACCACCCTCATCACCGACATCATCACCACCACCATCACCACCATCACCACCATCATGGCCACCATCAGCACCACCACCATCACCACCTTCATCACCACCACCGCTACCACCATCACCACCATCATCATCGCCACCACCATCATCACCATCACCACACCACCATCACCACCACTACCATCATCATCACCACCACCACCTTCATCGCCACCACCATCACCAGGATCTCCACCTTCATCACCAGCATCACCTCTCTGTGGAACCCAATGCGTCTAGATCTCTAGACCTGCTCCTTCTGCACCTTTAGACCTTAGACAGGTAAACACATTGTTTGGGGTCTCTTGCCGGGATAGTTTGCTGTAGAAGATGTCTTGGGATCTGACTGGCGCATGGTGGCACAATCTGCCATTTGAACCCAGATTTCTGAAAAGCTCTGGCTGGCTCCCAGGTCAAATGGTTTGATGCCCCGTTGCGATTGCGGAGACTACCGGATTCTCGGCATAAATTTATTTATTATCGTTTTGATTATGGTTTTTGGTGAGCCTTTGTTCCAAAAGACTGGAGAATGCACTTTACCTGCAAGACAAAATTTCTTGGCTCTCCTATATATTTTGAGGGGACCTTGATTGACATAATTTTTCAAACACATCGAAGGATCACACGCGAGCATTTTCGCAACACAGAACTAGTGTCTCTCGAAGACGTTTTCCAGACGTGCAGGTTCTGCAACTCAGTTGCAACTGATGGACTGACATGATCATCCTGACCATTCACAGGTGGTTAATTTGATGTTGTAGCAAAAGTGATGCAAATTACAACCGTGTTTCATGGTGTTCACTGCATTCCTGAGGCAACAGACAATCATACTTCCAGGATGGCATTTGTCACCCTTGTGAGATCTACCGAGCTTGGTCTGATGGCAAACGTGACGTGTGCCATTGGCTGCCACGGGAAAGACCAGAGCGTGTCATCCTGTTCACAGGTGCAGCAGTGTTGGTGATCCTGATCTTCATCGTGTTCGAGGTCCTTCACGCTCCTTTGGTGATTCTCGATGCCAGGTCTGATTTGGCAGACCCCTCGGAGGTGGTAGCCAAAAGGATCTTCACTATCTCAGTGCAGGGGCCTATTACCAGCCTTCCCAAGAGCATATCACGACAATTGCACCAAAGAGTTCATTATCGTGCAAGGGGAACTGGTCTGCAGTGGCTGGAATTTGATCAACAAGAGCCAAAGGCAATCAAGGTTTGCAGCGTGGCACAGAGGAAACTTTTGCTTCAAGATGCTCAAGTGCCATTTGATTGCGCTTCCTGCAGAGGGTCCCTGCACACTACCGAGACTTGTTTCTTTTTCACGCTGCTTATTGCCTTGGTATTTTTGCTCGCAATGCTGCCCACCATTATCAAAGTCGCAGTTATGTCAGGAAACGGTTTCGAACACACAACCGTCACTTGGAATGTAACTGGGAAGTATTGTGTTCAAACATATTGCTTAGTGGGCACCTGCGTTGATTTCTGCTTTGTGCCGATGCTGTTTAAAAATCAACTGTCTATTCCTTCAATCATAAAAAAGGTCACTGCTGTGCTCTATCTTGCTCTTCCAATGGCCGTTGTGGCTGCGGTGCTGCATTGGCCGGTGTCATGGCTTCTCCAACGCCTGTACCGTAGAACGGCCTTCTCAGAAGCTTTGGATGACTACCAGAGACAAATCCACTGCGAACCTCATCCAGGCCCAGATGCAATCCATCCTCGCAACCAGGGTTTGTTGGTCCTCACGCTGCGCGGATTGTGGAAACACTTTGAGAGTTTCTGAGCCTTCTCATCGGGTAAGCTTTTGTTGTGAAGTTGTTCCACATAACTACTTTGCATATGCTCAAAGCACCCGCAAGTTTAATTGGTTCCATATACGTTGTACGCATGAACTGGCAGTTGCAACCACATGGCAACAAAACAAAATTAGTTGCAAGTTCAATACGCTTTAATATGCAATTGATTAATATGAGTAATTAATCAATTGTTGCTATTGACAAAAGGACTAACTAAACATAGGGCTCGTACCTTCGTTTCGGGTATGTTCTTCGCTTCTTATCTTGCACGCGGTAATTATAACTACTATATACATCTATATACGCTCATGATTAAGCCACTTAGTTCCCAATGCCGCAATGCTTGAAACAATTCGAATAGAACATTTTAATGTTATACCAGGACAAAAGGGTGGGTTTTGGTCTATAGGTGAGTGGATCATGGAAATCCCTTTTTTCCTAATAGGCACCCCGTCTTGTGACTCCTGGTGCAATCCGAAGACTTTGGAAGGAATTTGTTTCGGTGTCGAAAGCAATCCTATCAAGATGATCTCTATTTGCGAAGCCTCGTGAGGCTTCATTTTGGAGCGGAACATGCACTTTGTGGTGGCCAACATTGTAAGGCAGGGTTGCTCTCAGCTGATTCAACAGATGATAAGCTGAGAAGGGAAGGGCCTCCTCAACAACGCGATTGATTCCCAAAAAGCCTGACATTTCTGCATTTGCGTGTCTTTGAAGCTCCCTGTAAGGCCCCTGACGCAGAGCAAAGGCGTGTCCTTCGTGACTCTTTGGGGTGGTAGGCAGGTGGACTACTTTGTGTCCCTCGCCCGATGTAAAGCTGATGGGTGATGGTGAATGTGCAAGAATTGAAGCACCCAGGCCTGCTTTTACAGGAGTCAAGGAGAAAGTGGCCGATTGTAGTTGGGTCATATGCAGCCTCCAAGCATCTCCACGCTCATTTGGTGATTTTTGGCTAGGCCAGCCGAAAGAATACTTGACCATTTAAAGGAGATAGCCGAGACATTGACAGGGTTCTTCACACTTCAGAAAAAAAAAAAAGAAAAAAAAACTTTGTAAGTGGCCATAGTTTTCCTTTCAGAGCGATGCTATTTGATAATCACCATGGGCTGTCAGAGTGTAGACTATCAGTACCATGCCTTGCACAGCTGAGGTCACACTCGTGGGGCACGAGCTTCGCTCACTTTGTGCGCTCCATCCGCTGCCATGCCTTGTCCAAGGAAGGTCCCGCCTCTTGGATCGATGCAGCCTATTGGATTTGTTCCTTTGCCACTCGGAACTGAACTTTGTTTCAGGCTTTCAAGACCTACCTACCTGCTTTTTAGGTCAGTTCCAAATGAAGGTACAGGTAGACCTTGAAAGGCCTTTAGTAGACTTTTGGCCATTGGCAACGGCATGCTTCTTTGTTTGGGCCTTTTTAAGGATCAGTTCCGACTGAAGCTAGTGCTAGTTATACTAAATTGGTTTGGACATTTAGGATCTGAAGAGAGGGAGGACTGAAAAAGAGAGAGAGAGAGAGAGACCTAGCAAGACTATTTTTTTCAGACTTGTTGTCATTCGCATGTGGCAAGCTCTTGCAAGCAGATGGCAGGGAAGGGATGATTGATGTATGGTTCTGTTGTTTTACCCGACAGCACTAAGCTCCAGGTGTTCATTGCCTTCATTTGCGAACGCCCAGGCCAATAACCAGTGGAACATCGCCGCCGAACTGGCCGACGATCCGATGGATAGCGCTTTTGCAAGGGCTTTGAGGGGTGGAATTAAGGGTGTTGCCATGGTGTTGGATCACGAGGTGCAACCGCTCACTCGAGCCTCGACGGCACAGTATCTACAAAAGTAGACATACGGTACCAATGTAGGCTCCATCCCGACCTTTGTTTCGATGTCGTTTGGGGTGGTTGACTGGAGGTGTTTGTTCTTTTCTTTGGAGGAAACACTTGGACACCTTGCAAAATGCATTTTCGTACCGCATGAAACGTGGCCTTTACCAGAAACAAAGCCATACGGTTACACCTTAGCATTGCTGCAGCAACCCAGCAGTTTATTGAATGTGTTGATTTTTCTGGCAGACTAGTTTGACCCTAGTTGAAGAACATCAAATCTATTGACTGTCAGCGACCATGCGCGGAAATGTTCAGGAGTTTGGTGCTTGTTCGAGTTCCTCCTGTCCAGTCGAGAGCATCTGGAGTTGGTCTTCACTACTGACATGGGAGTCGTGGGCGACGACGCCTCGATCGATCTCAGTGTACAAACTTGTTTTCCTCTTGGGGAGAAAAATCGACTGAACACATACGGAAGCATACGAAACCCCCCCACATCTCTTAGAAGGTGCCATTGAGGCATCACATGTGTCACATGTTGCATTTAAGTGGCCTTATTTCTGTGAGGACGGATGCAAGTCTTTCGACATCGCCTTGGAAGTCGGCAAGAAGATCGAGTGCCTGGAGGTGGTGAAGTGCCAGGCATCCAGTGAAGAAGACAAGACACTTGTTTCAACACTTGCTTCAATACATGGGGGAAGGGTGAGTCAGTAAACAACACTGTTTGCCGCAAAGGGTGAGGCATCCATGAAAGGATCATCCATGAAAGGTGCCAACAAACCCAGTCTTTGCACCTGCTTTTAAGGATACCAAGTGTGTAAACGCAGGTCTTGCGACGTCTTCCGAGGTCGCCAAACAGTATCAATCTTTCAGATCATTCTTGGAACATGTTCGCTCAGTCTGGGCACTGGGCGTCTCAACACATGGGACATCAGTCTGCACCATGTCAGACGTCCTTCAGACGTAGACCTCCCATGGGATGGACTTCAGATGTAGACGTGCCAGACGGGTGTCAGGCGCTCTTGCCGAGACTTGCGGTCACGCAACACCAGTGTCGTGTTTCGTTTGGGTCCTATGAGCCCAGTTTGGCCACATCAGTAGTTTTTAGGCTACCTTTGGAGTCTCAGCATGTTTGATTGAGTACTGTGATGAGGAGAAAAATCTTCGAGTACATCATCAATACCTTGGGCAGTTTGGAGAAAATGGATGACCGAATCAGACATTTGATGGGAGAGATGCTGGAGAAGAACTTGGCAAATGTGGGAACTGCGACTGACAGCCTGCTGCATAGGCTACGTCGAAAGTGACCAAATTGTAAATAACATAATCATAGCTAATGTGTTTATTTAAGGGCTGCCGCCCCTGCCGCCGACCCCGGGACTCATCAAGGAGGAGGAGTACTGCAGCTTGCACTCGCCAAAAAGCTATGGTTCAGGTGATTTTCCTTCATGCACCATGGAAGTGAACCTGTTTGTAGACGATGGTCCTCTAAATCCATGTTGGCCATGCCACCCACTTCTAGGATTGTTTCAGGGACAGCAGGAGTGGTTATGGAGCTGTTCTGCAACTTTGGCCCAGACGCTGCGCTAGTCCAAAAAAGGCTGCGACATCTCAGACTTGAGAATTGCAGGCTTCGGTCACAGTGCAAGTGCATATAGCAACATGATGCAACATGCAGGAGTGGCAGCCAGACCAGTGCCAAACGGATAGATTTGCACGGATTTGCAGATTGAGGGCACTATCAAAAACATTCAACCACTACTTATACATGCACTCCTGCACGAATCTTTAGGTTCAGGATGTTGCAGGTGTGTTTGTGTAGATAGGAGCCCATATAGGCCATATAAGAATAAACCAAGCATATATGATATGACTCCAATCCAATTTGGCGAATCATGGGAATCCTAGTCCAGTCCAAGTGGTGAATCATGTCCAGAAGCAATGCCTTCAGGCGGCTTCACTTGTTTCACGCCTCAAAGACGGCGCCCCTCTTGGACGTTTGGGACCTAGATTCAAAGAGTTAAGAGGCACGTTCGCATCCTCAACCTCCACACCGGCTCTTTCCACCGCCCGGTTCCAAGAACTCCAGTCTGGTGGGCCCATGTCTGCGACTTTGCGAGCTGGTGTGCATTGTATGTACCAGCATGTATAGTTCTTTGCGCATTGGTGCTACCCAGTTGGATCCTCATCCAATGGGTTTTAGTGATGTCTAATTTCGGATGCAGCATTCATTGCCGAGATTTGCCAAGCCCATATGGCCATGGGATATAAAGTTTAACAAGAATGTAGAACCTCACTGGAGTGACCAGGAGACTTCCCCAGTTACTGAAACGACTCGGTGGCTCGTGGAGAAAGGACAGAAAAACATACAGCACCCCAACAAATTGAAGCGATGAAGCGGATGAAGAGAGGACCGGTAAGCAACATTCTGCACATGGGCCACTTGGAGAAGACCAGCGCGCAACTGGGTCGGCTATTTTACAGCTTTCGCCATGGCCTGTGTGGCGACTTTGAATGGCTTCTTCCGAGAGGAAGTGCCTTGGCCTTGCATCGAAAAGGGACATAGATTTGGGAGAGCCCGCAACCAGCGAGTGTTAGTCTATTCGTCCTTTTCCCGAGTTCTTTGGTAGGTCTTCCTGCTTTTTTTGCGTAGGTAGCCATAATGGCCTCTTTGCTCATTGCGACATGGCACGGCTGTAGGCTGTTTGTTTTTATAAGCCTTTGATCCGGGAGATACACACGCGTTTGTTTGATCCCTCCCCACATCCATCGCTCTTCACGCATCTTGACCATGTCATGCGTCGATCTTCACCACGGGGAACGCGTCTACATGGACCCTCATCGACCACATGATGCACGTCTTTTTGACGGTGTACAGTCTACAGTGTACAGCAAAAGGTGGCAACTATAGGCCAATAAAAGGCTTCTTTCACAAGGGAGCGCTGTGACAAACAAGGTGCTGATTGTCATGATGTTTGTCGCGGACACCCAAGCAGCATCAGGAATATCAGTATCAGCTTAACAAAAAGGTGGTTATTCTTTTTTGTATCAGCATCAGTTCCTGCGCTTAACAAAAAGGTGGTTAACGAGACCAGTACACCATCTTTCTCCGCCGACGCTCTTCCGGAGAAAACGGGAAACAAGTGTGCGATGCGTGTCACACTACACGCATCCAGACCGTCCAAGGCAAACGCGTCGCCGCCAAGACCCACGCGCGTGTAGCGTCGCTGCGCCAACGAATCCACCGAGAACACATCCTGCAAGAAATCAAAGACCTCATCGCCAGTCACGTCCACGAACGCAAACGTCTGGCTCCGACGGACTCCGGCGCACAGGAAGCCAACGCCGCAAAGCGCCCCAAACAAAGCACAAGTGTCGTGGCACCACACGCATCGTCCATCGAGCCACTGCCGAGCACAGTCCCGCACAGTCGTCGTCAAACAAAACGCCAAGCCACGACAGAGACTCACCCCAAACCAGAATCCAAACAAGGAAAACAAACCACGTCAAGCGCGCAGCCACACGCGCCAACGCATGGCCACGCATTCAATCCGGAGGTGCCCGAGGCGAAGCCAGCAGGGAATCAGGTCAGAGGGGAGTCGACAAGGCTGTATGACTACGTCTGCCCACGCTGCAAATGTCCATGCCGCAGTGGGGTCCAAACTGGCCGAGTCCACCATCGAGGAAAGTGCGGCCACAAATTTCGTGTCTTGGACGGTGCAGTTGCTGGTCGCCAACACGAGCACACTTGTCCACAATGTGGTGAGTCCAACACCGCACACCCAACGGCAAGGCTTGTTCTTGTCAGGCATGGAATGTTGCAGCATAAAAACATGGCGCGTTCTGTGCCGGACGACCAGACAAAATCGTCATCCCCAATCGAGCCTTGCTTTGTACTCCTGGCGTTTATACTTCTCAATGCGCTCGTAGCCGCACTACTGCAAAAGCACACAACTCGGGGAGGGCCAA